ATTCCTGGGGGACAAACAGTAGTGGCACAAGGTGTGCTGCTGCTACTCGTCCCTGGAGAAATACATCCATGCTTATCTGGACACAGCCCATGAGTCCAAATTTAGTCTGGTTGAGGTTGCAAGGAGATGATGGTTGCCATGTGCATTTTCCTGAGTGACCAAATTTAAAACAAATTTGGCTGGAATTGTTACCGCTATTAGCTGCTGTTCTTAGGAAGAAGATCTGAAGTGGTCCCAACACATAGGTCATCATCCTCTTTTACTTGAGACATCCATATATTTTGTGTAATATCACTTTTTTTGTTCTTTCTCTCTGTATATTAAATGGACTCACTGCACATTTGTTTTTATCTTAACGCCATTAAAAATGTGTGCTGTTTTTTGTCAGCTGTGAAAACTTAAAATTATTTTTTGCCACTGTCCTATACATGTGTTTCTACCCACTGCCTGAAAGATTTACTGCCTTCAAGCCATGGCAATCTGGGTTAATAGGTGTTAAGACTAGAAGAGACCATTATGAGGATCTAGTTTACTTCCTGCATAGCCAACACCAAAGAAGAACTTCATTTTTATTTAAAAAGTATCCTTAACTATAAATCTCCCCTTCAACAATGATAATCTTCACATGCAACTTTTGCCATATACAGGCATCATACCCAGGGTGGCAGTGTATTTATTTCTTGACTATATTTTGTCAAGGTTTTATGGATGGCAATTCCGTGTTCTTGTTGTTTGAAGTTATTCCCCCCTAGCAAATTTAGTTTCTTTTCTGTTCATGTTTTCCTGTCCAGGTTGTTGCTTCAGCTGTTTTAAGTCAAAGCAAGCTCAGTTGTTTAGAAATTTCATAGATTTCATAGACATCAGGGCTGGAAGGGACCTCGGAAGATCATCGAGTCCAGCCCCCTGCCCAAAGGGCAGGAAGTCAGCTGGGGTCATAGGATCCCAGCAAGATGAGCATCCAGTTTCATCTTGAAGGTGTTCAATGAAGGCGCTTGAACCACCTCCGGTGGCAGGCTGTTCCAGACCTTGGGGGCTCGGACAGTAAAGAAATTCTTCCTTATGTCCAGCCTGAAATGATCTTGAAGTAGTTTGTGACCATTCAACCTCGTCATCCCTTGGGGCGCTCTGGTGAACAAATGTTCCCCCAGATACTGGTGGTCACCCCCTAAACTTGTAGGTGGCCATCAGATCACCCCTGAGCCTGCGCTTTTTCAGGCTAAAGAGCCCCAGGGCTCTCAGCCTGTCATCGTAGGGTCTGCTTCCCTGACCTCTGATCATGCGCGTGGCTCTTCTCTGGACTCTCTCAAGCTTCTCCACATCCTTTTTGAATTGTGGAGCCCAAAACTGGACACAGTACTCCAGCTGCGGCCTCACTAAGGCCGAGTACAGGGGGAGAATGACGTCCCGGGATTTGCTTGAGAAGCATCTATGGATGCAAGCCAGCGTTTTGGTCGCTTTACTAGCCGCCGCATCGCATTGCAGGCTCATGTTCATCTTGTGGTCAATGATGACCCCCAAGTCTCTTTCTTCCATAGTGCTAGCCAACATAGCACTGCCGAGCCTATAAGGATGCTGCGGGTTTTTTTTCCCAAGGTGGAGAACCTTGCATTTATCGGCGTTGAACACCATCAGATTCTCGTCCGCCCACTTGCTGAGCCTGTCCAGGTCAGCCTGGATAACCTGCCTGTCTTCTGGTGTGGATGCTTTGCCCCAAAGTTTGGTGTCATCGGCGAACTTGGCCAGTCCGCTTTTGACTCCAGTGTCCACATCATTAATGAAGATGTTGAACAGTATGGGTCCAAGGACAGAGCCTTGGGGGACCCCACTGGTCACAGGACACCACGATGAGTGACTTCCATCGATTACTACCCTTTGGGTCCGACCCCGGAGCCAATTTTCCAGCCAGTGGATCGTGGAGGGCCCAAGGCGACAATTGGCCAGTTTCTCCAAGAGGCGATCATGGGACAGCAGATCGAAGGCTTTTTTGAAGTCAAGATATATGACATCAATCTCTTCTCCCTTGTCCAGGTGATAGGTCACCTGGTCGTAGAAGGAAATGAGATTGGTCAAGTAAGACCTACCCGCAACAAACCCGTGCTGGCTATCCCTTAAGATGTTGGCGTCGGCCAGTCCATTAAGGATGGCCTCTTTAATAAACTTTTCTAAGATCTTCCCCGGGATAGAAGTCAGGCTGATGGGCCTATAGTTAGCCGGATCCACTTTCCTCCCTTTCTTGAAGATAGGCACCACATTGGCTTTCTTCCAGTCTTCGGGCACTACACCCGAGCGCCAAGAGTTTTCAAAGATCCGTGCTAGAGGCTGGGCTATGATGCTCGCCAGCTCCTTGAGTACCCTGGGGTGAAGATTGTCAGGACTAGCTGACTTGAAGGTATCCAGCTTCTCAAGATGTTCCTTCAGAAAGTCAGCATTAATGGAGGGCAGGGGATCACCCTCACCTGGACTTCCCGGCCCTGTAGCGGGCATGGGCGTCCCATGGGACTGATGAAAGACTGACGCAAAGTACCTATTTAATAGGTTGGCTTTTTCCTGGGCGTCAGTTGTCAGTTGCCCCATCTGGCTCAGCAGGGGTCCAATGTTGCCTCTGCTTTTCCTCCGGCTCCCCACATATCTGAAAAAGGACTTCTTATTGTCCTTGATGCTCAAAGCTAGCTGGAGTTCAGTTGCAGCCTTGGCTTTCCTGGTCTGCTCCCTACAGGACCGGACCAGTGCAGAATAATCCTCCTTGGAGGTGACTCCCATCCTCCACCCTTTGTAGGCCTTTCTTTTTAGCCTCAGGAGATCTGCTAGGTCCCTGGAGAGCCAGGGGGGCCAGGGATTTATAGATTATAAATGATAATCCAACCTTCTATGTGATCAGGAGCAGCAATTTTTAATTTGGCCAGTGAGGCAGAGAGAAATTGTGATATGAGGAAAAAAATTCTCATACACGATCTCTTATCCGTACAGGCTATGTGGCCAAATAAATTCTTTCATAGAATCATAAACAAGTAGGGCTGTAAGGGACCTCAAGAGGTCATCTAGTCCAACCCGCTGCCTGAGGCAGGATCATCCTAGATGAATCCATCGTCTAACCTATTGGCAAAACTACACAGTCGGCCCTGGAACAAGACAAGACCCAAACAAGTAAAGGAGGGGCTCTGCTATAATAGTTGTTAGAATGTGTCCAGGAGATCCCAGAAAGAGGACCATGCCCTTTACCATAGAGAAAGGCAAAAACCCCCACAGTCTATACCAATCTGACCAATCTTTCATTTTTCTGTGATTAAAATGAAACACCACTAATATATATTTTCAGATTAAAAAAAGTAAACCCAAATCTACATTTTTCCATGATTAAAATGAAACATCACTAGTATATAGAAATATATATATATAGTGGTCTTTCATTTTAATCACAGAAAAATGTGTATTTGAGGTTACTTTTTTAAATCAGAAAATTGGGAATTTTTTTAAGGATCCTTGCTTAGCACAAAGAGCCTGATCCCCACAGCAAAAGTGGAGGTGGTTTCTATAGAACAGTTATTTTCTGTATGTACGCTACCTAGCAAAATACTTCCCTCCATCCATTTGTCTTTTAGACACTATTACAGAGTAAATATTAAGTAATGGCTGTTTCAGAGAAAATACAAGTGTTACTTCTGTTTTTTCTCACAACCTTCATTTCAGGTCCAGGACATGTTTGCCTTAGGAGAGGAGAGAGATTCAAATGTGATTTAATAACCAGTTATATTTACCCCCTTGGTATTGAGATATTGTTTTTAAAGGGATTAACGTATATAATAGTTTGATTGCATATAGTTGTTTGGTCTAGAAACTTGTGAGTGAATAATTGAAAATGCTACTAGTATTGTATCTTTTACATTTTTCAGGGTATCTGTAATTGTTTTCAATCTAATCACAGACTAGAATTCTGGCATCTTTTGTTTTAAATTAGGCTGTGGTCTTCTGCTGTCTGAAATGGTGTTGGATGATGAGAAGAAAAACAGAAGCACAGCTTTACTGCAGTCTTTAAACATGCTTGTGCAGACAGAGGGAAAGGAGAGAAGTGGATCTGAATACCAAAGTTTACTAGAACACCATGGATTCACAAGTGTAAAAATTAGACTGACAGGAAATTTGTTAGATGCTATCTTTTGTACCAAATGTTAGAAAAATTGTATTCAGCAATTTAACTTGGGGCACATCAGTCTGACATCATGTCTGATGTCTTTTTAATTATGTAGATCTATAATTGGTTTCCCATTAGCATCTTAAGTAATTAATAGATGACTTTGGAAATTTCATAAATTACTGTATTTCAAGAACTGAAAAATATAAACATTCTGAAATGTGAATAAAATTTCAGGATTATTTTCTTCATTTTGCAGCAGTGATGTTTTGATCATATGGAGTTGCTAGTACTTCCAAAAATCACCCACAATTCTTATGTGGCTGTTTGATTATATTGTAACTTTGGAATCATTAATGAACCCCTTTTCTGTTGTTGGGTCAGATCAGAGCAGGGGCAGGCAATTATTTTGGGCAGAGGGCCGCTTGCTGAGT